TCTATTAATGGTTAATTTTTGAGAACTATTCAATAAGTAGGTTATAACTAGATATTTTTTCAATATTTTGCCTTGGATTAATCATGTTAGTTTTCTTGTGAGGATGTTAGAACGATCACAGACATTTTTGGAGATGTGTATAATATGCGTCTGTTATTCTTTTTATTTTTAAGAAATTAGAAAGTAAGGGTTGTTTTAAACTATTTTTAAAATATTTATTTCAATAGAACAGGTATACATAAACATGTTGATAATTTTTTTTTTTATTAGTTGTGTTTCGTTAATTAATTTTGTCTTATTCCTATACAATTTTTTAATTTGAGTTAATTTATTAAACAATATTAAACAAGACATAATTAATTAAAAATTGCCTTATCACATTTGAATAAGCTGTTAAATATATACATTTTTTTCTTAACTCAACTTATGTTAATGTTAATAGACTGTTTAATAATATTAATCGTAACAATATTGATTATATTTTGTACTTTGTGGCATATATTCACTATATTCACATTATATTGATGCAATGGTACCTTTATATAGGATTAAAATATTTTACAAACCATCCAATTAATAAATATCTTTACACGTTTTAGTGATTAATAGATGTTATTAGTGTTATTAAAATTTTTAATATACACATTCTGTCAATTATTATATATTTAGGAGGTTTTACTTAAAAAAATTAGCAAAACAAAAAACAGGAACCAAATGTTGGACACCACATTCACTTTTGCTCACCTCAGAGCAAAATAATAATGGTTTTTTAATGTACGATCTCAACTCAAAATTCGATCCATAATTATTGTTGTTTTGGATTACTCATATTATCATAAAAAATACAGGGACATAAACAAATCATTCTAAAATATATATATTCCTCACTTAACTTAATATTAAAATTAAGATGAAACATTTTAGTCATTACAGAATTATATCTATATCAGTGGCATAGTGAAGTAAATATATATTTTATCAGGCAATTGTTTTTGAAAGATATAACCACCCCAAGACTTCTTAATATAATACTTTTTTTATTGAAGTTATTATTATAATTAATAAATTATTAACTTTAATTATTTTTAGGTATTTGTATATCATATATTCAGATGAAGTAGTCTAATACTTCAATTTCTCACTAAATCTAGTAGGTGCTCACCCACCCACCCAACACACCCCTTTAAAATTATCGGGGCAACTGCCCTTCAAAGTCAAGGTGCCACTAATTTATAATATATATAATATAGTATGTATTAGATATTTTCAAAATGACTATCCATAAATTATACGTAAAACTTTAGCTATAAAGAAATATTATTCTGCTGATTGTATTCGTGAGCAATAAGAGTTAAATTAATATTATAAAGTACATGAGAACTAGGTTTAACAAAAGAAATAATTAAAACATGGCACCTAAATGTAATATTGTTTAAAATATAACTTATGACAAATTGTTTTTTAAATATATATGTGAATACATAATAAGTGGATAAGGGGTAGTAATTTCATGCATATATGACATATGCAAAACCATGCAATTATAGGGTGAATTTTTATATTAATGGATTTCAAAATTATTTATTTATATTGTGTTGCTTACTTTTAACAATTCAAAAACTAATCTAATGAATGTTTTGTTTTAAAAAAATTGATATGAAAATTATCGCAATGTACATGAAGTACAGTAGAATCCAGTGGTGCCGAGGTTCATTCCAAGTTATGTTGCAAAATCTTTACAGACCTGAGTGGAGGCCCCCCAAACTTCTCAATTAATATATTCATATATTTATTAATTATAGGTACTAATTAAATTGGATACACAAATAAACAAAAAATATAAACCTTGGATTTGTTCAAGTATAATGTATAAATGTTTAGCTGAACCTAAATAAATCTAACAAAAAATTAATTTAAAAACCATAAAAATAATAATTATTATTTTCTAATCAAAATGAAAAAATATTTTAAAGTTTTAGATAGGAATGTGCTCTTCGTAATTATAATATAATACTTTCTGTATTTGCTTTGAAAGTTATGTTCATAAACCTTTTCACTGCTACTCTATTTATGCTCTGCAACCTGTGTATGCTTCATAAAATAAAATATGTTTTAATCCCAATTTTAAGAGCTATAATATGATCTAACTATTCATTTTTAAAAAATTTAGAGCAAGGGTTTCCTAAAATTGTACGGTTACTGGCAAATGATGATATTATAAAATACAGGAATGTAATAGTATCTCTAAAATAGTGAAAGGGTTAAATTATTAGCTTAAAAGACTAAACTTAAAAAAATAGCCCAATAATACAAGCTTATATGTACCACCCACTTAAGACGAGTGTTTTAGTCACACACTTGGACATAGGACAGGCGCCACTGGTGAAAACTTGGTAATTTGAAACTTATATGTTTAATAAGTTTAAAATAAAAATATTTTAGAAATGTTCTATAATATAAATTATATATTATTTTCCCTTTAATGTTATCTTTGTAATACTAATAATTAAGAGAATAATTATGATAACTTAGTCTTTGATACTATATTTCTGTATTTGAAATTATACAAATATCTATGTAAGTACATGGGTACATTTATTTTTTAGACGAAATTAATATTAAGAGTGTGTAGATAAAATATTATTAATTGATAGCTGACAAATGAATTATCTTTTGATAGATTTTAAAAGTCAATAGCTGAATAAATTATTTTAAGTCTTATTTAATGTAATTATTTTTATACTTATTAATTATTATAATAATTTTAATTATTAATCAGCATTCTTTTAAGACTGAATAACACGGTGTACCTTTTTAATGACCGAACCGTCCTGTTGCTGTTGCCTGGCCACTTTGGCCATGGCAGCTTCACGCTGTAGCCACGACCTCAAGCGGCAGAACAGAGAGTACGATCCGGGAGCCGATGACAAACGATACAGACGGAAGCCAGCCGGTGACACGAACCTGTCTTTTTCGGCCATACAACTGCATGTGTTACAGATTTATACACACAACTCACTGCGTGTCCTACAAAAGCATGCACAACAACCTGGGTTAGATCTACTATAATAACTACAGAATACAAACCACTTGCCATAACCTCTCCGGGTAGAATAATTAAACACTACAGGTGGGTAGGTTAGGGATTGTGTAGATCAGGATAATTTAAGAAGGAATCTAGGTATCTAGCACACATGCATAATGTGTTAACCTCAGCCACAAGCACCCGACAAAATACCCAACTCTTAAGTATATTTTCAATGTTTATAGTTTATAATTAAAAGGACGTGACTAGGAATTAAATAAATTACTTTTGGAGTTTTTATATGTTCCATCTTGACAATTTAAGGCACATTAATAAAATCGAGTGACTAGAGAATTAAAAATAGGTTAACATAAATAAATAACTGAAAAAATTAAGAATATGAAGTTTTCAGAGAAAAGTTGTGTAGGCATTTGGCCCCTTTAAACTAGTAACTATTAACTATTAAACCACGGTTAAGCAAAGCAGTCATAAGCACATTACTTACGCTGCAAAGACTAAAAGTCTAAAACCGAATAGGTATTAACTGAAGGTGATAGCAGCATTGATTATAGCATTTAATCTATTCAGTTTTCACCATAGAGTAATAAAACTATTCACTTTCCTTTTTCACTTTCCGTGAAGTAGCATTGATTGTAAACGGTTATCAAAATACGATAAGGTATACATGGCTTTAGATAATATCTTGGGACCGTGGATACTAGTATGTTTTGTAATTTTGAAGTGGGTATCAGTGTATCACCAAGCCCAGATTAAGAAAATTTTGGCCCCGGCCCCCCGAGGCCAAATATAAATAATATGTTCATCCATTATCCGTGTATCATAGGAAACTTACTATCCTACAGGGGCTCACTTTTGATCTTAATCTCTTGTGGGTACGGGCTTGGGTATCATGGAGAAATATAAAAATAGTATTTTGTAAGAAGAATCATTCATGTTTATGACAATTCAATGAGAGCTTAATGATATTTGTGGCTGTTGTTCTAAGAGTAACATTTTTGTGTACATCGGTTAATCTTCGTTAAAAAAACGATCCTCGGCCGGTTATCTACTTAAATAAGTTTTTAGGTGAAAATTTAGTATTCCCAAAATAATTCTTCTTTATTTTCAAATACTAGCTTGTACTAAATATATTATAACATTTGGAATAACAATCCAAAATCGTGATGGAAAATTCCCCGTACCATAAAGTTTACCAATAATCTATCCAAGGGTAAATGAACGTTCAAAAATAGCTTTTTGAAAGAGTCCTGACTATTCGCCACACGAATGAAACGTTAGAATTCATGACTGTGAATAACTGGAAGAAATGTGTTGCTCATTGCGAACAATTTTAAGATGATTTTTTAAAAGGTTTATGGGATGAAATTTTAGAATAAATTATTTTTAATTTTATTCATTCTTCAAGAAGATAATGGGCCCCACAATTAAAAATGTACAACGATCATTACTCATTAGAAGTTAGTAGCATAGACACATAATAGAATATTATATGTCTATGGTTAGTACCGACATTGTTCTATGACAGAATAGTGACAAGAATGACGGGTATTAAAAAAAATTGAATTTGTTCAATGTTTTATTTTTTTTAATGTAAAATTCACAATTGTATTCGTATTCGCAAAATAATTAACAATCGTGATAGTAAATAAGTAGAATTGTTGATAATTTGTTTCAGGAAATATTGTATTTAATTTATCCGCGCTTTCCTTGAAACAATATGTTTTAGCTCCACGTGAAAATGTTCCCGTCGAGAGCCATATTTCGTGAAATTGACTGCAAACAGTCGTGTGGTTTGTTCGAAATTCGAATCGGTTGACTTAAAGCCTTGGACATAGACTCCAGGGGGGCGTGGCATACGTTATCATTAAAATAAATCATATTATCAATATTATTTGTACAAGCCAGACACAAAGCCATGATTTTAGATAAGTCTCTAACAAAAAAAATTGTAACATTTAATATAAATATGTATGATTTAATATTTTACTCTTAATAGTTTCAACAAACATTTACATTTCACATCCTGTGAATAATTATAAAGATAATATGTTTTTAACACAATGTTTACAATTAAAAAAATATAATTGTTTTATACATAACTATTAATTAAATTTTATAATATTGTCATTTAACAATTTTTCTAAAAGAGAAAAAATGACATAATAAAATGGGTCGATTTTATAAAATGTACAATTAATCAATAGCATAACTAATGAACTGAACAAATAATTACAAATTATAATTTGTTAAAAAGCTTTTTTAAATTAGTAGAAAAAAATACATAATAGATTATATTTGTTTGAATTTGAAAAAATTAAAATATTTCTGTTTGTTAGGTAAAACAAATAAGAAAAGGAAAAACACAACAATAATTTCTGTGTTATAAGCAAAACTATGTCAAACGGACATACAATAAAAACAATACTACAAAATATTAACATATTGAATGATTTTGGTAGTTTGTGGTAAAATTAATTAAAATTAACAGAAGGAAAAAATATATAATTAACATTTAACGCTTCTCCTATGACTACGAGTTACCATGCCGGCAGGCCAAGATGATCTAGATGCAACTTTTTTGAATCTTCTGCTATCTTTCTTTTTGTGTGACCTTAATATTCTAGTCATTGGTTCTGTCAAAGGTGTCTTAATTTTTGATAATGTTGTAATTTTAGTTGGAGTAGAATCTTCTTTGGTGTCATTACATTTCCATACCTTCTGGATTTTTCCAGAACTTCTTAATACTACACCCACTTTAGTCTCTTCGGGTTTAATTGATTTAGTAGGAGACAACAGCCAAGGTTCACGTGGCATTTGCTCATTTTCAGAATCACTATTTCCTAATTTTGAAGTCTCATCATTAATTGTAGACTTTTCATTTAATTTTTGTTTTTTGACAATTCTTCCGCTGCTTGTCAGTGTACACCTTTTTTCTGCTGGTTGACTATCCTTTTTACTAGTACTATTATTGTTGTTGTTATTATTATTATTATTAATTTTTGCAGATGTTCTGAGTACTTTATTTGTTTTTAAAGGTGGTGTTTCTATAGGAGTATTAGGATATCTACACAAAAAATAAATAAAAACGGTAACACAAAAATGTATTAAAGTAAAATATTAAGTCACTTACGGTTTTGAAGTGCTGGGAAGAGCACTTGATGCTCTTAGATGATGATCTGTAGGATATCTAGTAAATATGGCATATCCACCACTTGAACCTCTACCAAATCTTTGAACTTGTGGATCTCCGTCAACACATTTGCAACTATTTTTATCTTCACATTTCATATTACCAGTCTGCATTTTATGTTTTAATAGCACTTGTGGAGCAGGTGGACCAGGTGGATCTAACATTAACGTAATAACTGTGGTATTGTCAGCCCTCAATCTTACTTTATTCCATTGTAAAATTGCTTTGTCAACAAGATTTTTTGATGGATTTAACCAATCTACTTTCTGAAAAAAATTACAATTAAAGAAATTAAATTTATTTACAAAATATATACTATCATTTATCTTACTTCTAAAGATTTCATTTCAATATTATGTTTTTCCGTTCCATATACATTTGAAATTGCTACATCTGCCGAAAGAACATTCCATAAGCCATCAGTGCCAAATATCAAACAACGATGTTTAGAAGGATCTACATCGAAAACTTCAACATCTGGTTCAGGAGATACAACAAATTTATTATGCTCAGAATTGTAACTCCAAAAATCACCAAGAGCACGTGCTACCGCTAGGAACGGTATTTCATCGATTGTAGTTGAACGGCGTACAGGACCTTTATGACCAATGCGAGGCCTATTCCATACTACTCTAGGAACACCAGATTTATTAATAACTTTGCCTCCACACTCTTCTATTCTTATTTTTTCTTCAAATGATTCTGGTTTATGGTCTCGTGTTAATGGTTTAGCTTTCCACTCTCCGTTTTCTACGACAGGAAAATATAAAAGTGTAAATAATTAAGAAAAACAATTGTCAAGCAAAGTATATAAAAACTATTACCTTCATCTTGATATCCAAGTACTATACAACTATCACCAACGTGACCAGTATATATTTTTCCTCTCATTATAAATGCTATGCTTGCTGTGGTACCCGATGTGTTAGGTAAACCAGATGGAGTTCTCGGCCAATTTTCTAAACAATTAAATATATTATTTGTGTGTTATTCTATAATAAGTAAATGCATGCAATGTATGTACCTAAGTTTTTCCACATTTCAATATGAGTATTTACGTAACCATTACGGATAGCCCTTAATACGTCTTCATCATTTTTTGACCAGAATGCATCATCTTTGATGATGGTGTCGAGCAAATGATCTTTGGCATATGCAGCTGCTTCCGAACCACCATGTCCGTCAAATATGCCAAAGAAGGCGTACTCCAAGTCTTTCATGTCCGGTGTCTGCTGGTAGGCCACCGAAAACATATCTTCCATGTACTTTCTACCGCCCTGGTTGCAGTAACCGGTCACTCGTAGGTTAACACCGATGCTTGGCATTGCGATGGTTAGTATAAGAACTAACAGTACTGAGCTAAAGAAAGGTCTGCGTACGAACGACCCTCTACGTTAACATTACGAGTCACGACGTACCTACAGCAAGGCCAATCCGGGTTAATCAATCTGAAGCCAGGACATACACAAAATTTAATTTTTTGGTGGGATCAACAGTACAAGACAAATATCAAAGGGTTCACCATGCAACTACTTTCTACGTCGTCAACGCACAAAGCGAGACAAATGGCGCGCAGTAAACTGCGATGACAACCGGACCGGACGTTCACTTCGGTACACCGGACGAATACGCGCACGAGACAATGGCGACGGGAAATGCAAAAAAAATAATTAATCTAAAATTGTTTATCGTTAAAATACGGTCGAAGGAGTAAAATGCAATCGCGACGACCGTAACACATTAACATTTAACTGCGTTTACAAGTGTTGGAGCGCTAGTATCTAGATCGCGTTTAATAACGAATTTGTGTTTTTGAAGTGCATTACCATTCGTCGGTACGTCTAGCAAACTGCGCGACCGCGAATGTCCCGGCGCCCAGCAGGTTGGCAGCACCGGTGCCCCATGATGGGCTAACGAGTGGTGGTGCGGGAGAATGGATTTTCGTCGTCGTCCGGTGCCGAGTACCCCCGCCGGGTGGTGGCCTCCTTCCAAGGCGGTCGACTCGGTCGAGTGTCGACCCGCGTTCGTACGTGTGCAATCGCGCGCGTACACACACCACCGTCCGCCGCAATCACGGCACGAATTTATTCGGAACAAAATTACAAATACGTGATAACGCTTCACGGTCCGGGGCGGTCCGACTGTTTTGTTTTTGTTTTCATCTTAGTGCAATTTACGTTTGTTTTGTTTTTTTTTGTTTTTTTTTTTAAAAAATTATTCGTCTGTTTACATTACGCCAATTGATTTAAATATTTATATCTAATTATTTTGTTTATTATAGTATACGCACACACTCTAAATAATATTTTTATTTATATTATAATAATAATGTGTATAAGGGCCCGTTTAGTTTACGGTCCCCGAAAGGATTTCATCACATCACCTGCAGTAATATCCGAGTAAGTAATATTCCAAGTATTCACTGGTATAATTTTTCCATACACCAATGCTCTAATACACACTACCGAGTATACTCGGCGATAATGTATATGTGTATGTACAAAAAATGTACCTATATAGTATGTAAATATTCAATATTATGCGATCTTGTCTTTTTTTCTGAGAATTACCTATTACGTATTTACGTATAACTAGTACTCGACAATTTTTTTTGCGTCGTTTGACATATATATTACGAGTAATGACTTGGGAATAATTTTATTTTTATATCACTGACAAAGCATATATTTTTGTTATGCATGAATTAAATTTTGTTTACCTACCTACTAAAATGTACAGGGTGTCATTTGCTTTTGGTATTTTCACATATTTTGATTAATATAAAACTATAAAGGTAAACATTAATAAACCTTAGTTGCTTTTAGTGTTTACTTTTGTGTGATTTATTAATGTCAGTTGCATTTGTTCAGGATTCAGTCAACATTTTCAATTCAAATAATTTAAAATTGTCCCAGCCATTAGGTATAGAGATTTGAACATTTAGATACCTACTCATTATAAACAGTAGTAATTATATTAAATGTAATCAAAATTAATAATACAATGCAGTGGGTAATTGTCTATTTCTGAATAAATTTATAATTAAACAAAACATGCCATTTTAAATAGTGAACATCTTGGTAATGGTAATCAATTAGTTTAATTTAATTATTGTTATTTATTAATGATGTATCTTATCAATATCTGCAAAATGAATTATTGATGTAGGTATAATATATAATTATTTTGTGTGATTTATTAAACAACAATTACACCTTTCACTTATGCTTAACATACTATCTAAATTTATCTATTAAACTCATACTACTAATAGTACCTTTACATTTGTCATATAATTTGAAGATAATATTGTATTTAATAGGTACATTTTAATTAGTATTGTAACATTTTTAAATGATACTTTAAAAATAATATATAATTAATGTAGTTACCAAGAAAGAATTAAGACTAGGTATTTGTTTATTAAATTGAAAAATTGGAAGTTTCAAATTAGTGATAGGTACTTACATTAGTGATCTCCATTTTTTACTTTGTGAAATATTTACTTTATTTTTAAAAATGCAATCAATTATGTATTGATTTATAAAAGTCAGAAGCTAATAAAGTAGGTACCTATTAATTTATTGACATATTGAAACATTTGAAGCTGTACAAATGAATAATGTGTTATGCTTGGTTAATGGTAATGCTTACTACCTTTTTCAAAAATTTTTTTTCAATCATAAAATTAGTTATATAAATTATTTTTATTTTCTTTTATTTGTTTCCATCTGTAACTACTGCTACATTACTCGTTAGAAGTTGTTTTTCTTATTTTTTTTTTCTTTTGCAGTGTCCCTTACGTTATTCCTCATCCGATGCCCTTAATTATTTTCCATATTGATTTTTATTAAGTCGAAAATAATTCTTAAGAGAATAATAGCACACTATTTGTTTTCTCTTCACAACACATACATATCAAATATGTATTCAGCAGAACCAATTCTGTGTTGTTATCTGTTTGAATTTCCCTATTATAAAACATAATGTTTAGAATATTATCTAGGGACCTTCATGGGGTTTATTGATGTTTTAATTTCAAAGTTAGTCACAACTATGAAAACTATTATGATTTTAAAATAATCATAACTTGCTTTAGAATTTAAATATTAATTAAATCCTATGAAGTATCTTATATAATATTCTTACCTTTAACTAAGTTTAATAATGGGTTCTTTCATTAATTCATTCTAATATTAATGCTAACACAAGATTGGTTCTGCTTTCAAATTAGTTGTGTTGCTTGTGGGTCTGAGGTATAAAACAAATAGTGTACTGCTGTTGACATCATCTAAAGTAGTGGTCTCAAACTCAAATTACTGACTAGTCATATATTTATGCGTTAAATGTTCAAAGGCAAGACACCTTTTATTTTTTAACATTATTTTACTCATCTTAATACTAAATCCTAAATAAACAAAATCAATTAAGACAAAATGTATTTCTTCTATTTATCATAATTCTTATAATATAACTGTAATTCTGTATTTAATACTAGGTATTAGAAAGATGTAAACGCTGATTTATTGAATAAATATTATTTTCAAAATGATTGAAGAAATAAATGTTTATTGCGGGCTCTCGATTATGCTTTAATATATAAATCTCACTGATCTAAATCATACTTTTTCATTTTCAATTTTTTCTCTCCAAAAAATTCTTAGTATTCTTCTCCAGTAAAAACCGTTTTCAAAATCAATTTTTGCTGAAAAATAGTATTATATACTTGCTTCTACTAAATATATTTATTACACCTATATACAATTCTTTATAATCGATTTTTTGGTTATAAGTCTGTTATAAACTGATTTTGCTATGTACGTTCTATTTTCCTTAAATACATACAACGCGTACTACGTTAGAATAAAATCATAATCCTTAAACTAATATTTGGCAAAGAGTTACTGAAATCATGTGTAATTATTGAAAATGGACAATTTTTAACAGTCGACAATTCAATTTTATCTTCATAATTATTTTAATTTTTGATATGTTGCCTAATTCTTCTTTGCTAGAAATATAAACGAGAATATAAACATTGATAACTGATAAATTAGTAAAATATGACTATATTTTTTAGTCATAATGTCATATTAAGATGCCACACTTGCATGTGTTGTTTCCGTGGCGCCTTACAAACATACAACATTGAATTTGGGTTCAGTAGAACCGTTGATGAAAAACTTAAAAACTGTTTAAACTCATTCGTTTAATCGTCGGGGAAATCTTTTGGATACCTTATTAACAAATTGTCCATTGAAATTTTAGATAATAACTTAAAATTATTTCTCACACAAGTATAAGCGATAATTCTATGTTCTAGAGCACTATAAAGCTGATCAATTATTACATAAAAAGTGTTTATTTTAAATGGCTCTTTTGCATTTAGTTCATGAGAACTACTTTCATTTATTTTAATTTTTTTTCGGTGTCTAGTCAATTTGTAGTCTTCATTTTTAGCCTTTTTCATACCATTTTTTTCATAATCATCACATTAGCACCTAATATTTTGAAGGACAATTTTAAGACTTTCAATTAAATTAATTGCGCTATTTTGAACACTTTTACTGCAATTATTAAAAGGTTAGTGGATAGTATGCCACAATTCACCCATAATGTCCGTTTCTAAATGGCCGAGAACTTTACTTAAAGTTCCTGCTTGGTGATGATTTGATTGTGGCTGAAATGGATCATTTTGAATTTTATTTTAACGTAAAAATTATTGAAATCTGGATTTAGTCTGACCTTTTATGTCGGCCGAATTTTGTTCTCAATAAACGGTCTAATAATTTGGTAAAATATTGGGCTGATGCCGCGTCTAGTCTAACCATCGACTTAGTGTGCAAATCTACAGATTTTAATTCCGTAATTACGACGTGTTACTATCAATGACGGGCCGAATTTTTTCGAGGGCCTAAAGCAGTGATTAATTTGCTTGTAGGTTAATCCGGCTAGAGTGAATTGACGACCTTTGATCAAAATTGGGGGTAAAAAATTGTTTCTGTACTTATGTCGATTTTCTAAGATATTTTAATTTTTAAGCTAGTTAATGACAATGAAGGGATTTAGGGTAGCGGACAGTTCTTTTAGCCAAGACATACCAATCTTTTGTCCGTGATACTGATAAACTTAGTAATGCGATAATACTTTTTAAAACTGATTTGAATTCGTTGTTATGTCTACATGAGATCGGTCAGTCCATTTTTCCCGATTTCACTCCCCCCTCTCCAAACAACTGTGCATTTAGTTTGAATATTTTGAAATTCTGAATCTTCGGACCTTGATTATTCGCAATTGAAATCAGATCTTAAAATGCTTAAGGCCTATTACTTATTATCTAAATATATACTATACAAGTTTAGCTGCAATCTGTATATCTTCTATGTACCTATTGTCAATAATTATCTTTGTCAGTTAGATAAACGTATAAAATAATAAAAAACAACCGTACGTCAGAAATAGTATATAAATTGTTCTTCATAAGTATAAGTACCTACATAATAATAATAAAATGAAAAAACATATAACCTACTACCTACACAAATAATTAAAAAAATGTGTACAAATTAAAAATAATTGAATAGTATTGTTTTCTAATGTCGAAGCTTACTGACATTAAAAAATCTATTATTCTAATTACATTATTTTTAATTTGAACACTTAAATTTTGGTTAACGATTTTCAATTTTAAGACTGTTGGACACTTTTATGCCTAAGAAATAATCTTTCAGTGGCACATTTAACTGCAGAAATCTTTCGATGCCATTAGTGTGAGTCATGTGGATTTC